AGCAGGGATACTCTATATTGGGCTCAGCTGTAATTTGCTTTTAATCTGTTTCTTTTGTTCTAAATTTGGGGTAGGTCACAACTCGTGCCTCTCAAAGGGATGCTTGTACTGATTTAAGCTCTTGATATCACTAAATTATTAATCATTTATCAAAAAAACAAGGGGCAACAAAAGAACAGATTTTTTGGGGTTATGTATCCTGATGTGACCAAAGGGTTTCACGGGTGGTTAGCTGAGGCTAGCTGCTGATCTCATCATCGTAATCTGTGTATGTTATGATTAATTAATAAAAGTTTTGTTTATTAATGATAATAAAAAAGAAGATTAAAGGAATGTTCTTGTAATGGCTGGCCTTACATTGCTTGTTCAGAGGAAGATCTTGCAACTCCTTTTTTAATTCAGGTTTTTTTTTGTTCTGTAACTAGATTACTGATTACAGTGATACTTTTTATAAATTCCCCAATGTACAGTCTCTTGTTGAACTTGAGTGTTGTTATTTTTTCTCTCTAATACAATGCTTTAAAAAAGTTCTGGGTTCATTTGTAACTCATGTTTTCCCACATCATGTGGTCATGAAACCTTTAATTATTTTTCATTTTCCATAAAAAATTCTTCTATTTCCTTCTTTTTTTGGTCAATAATAGGAAGCATTTCCTTAAAATAAGAGATTAGAATACATATTAGGGGAGATAAAACATCTTAGCTCTCCTAGTTTTCAGAATAAGCAATCAAGGAGAGAAAAACAGTTACAAATGAGCCGAGAAAATAACATCCCTTTGCACCCCTTGCCTAGCTAATCCATCGGCAAATGAATTGGCACTTCTCTTTACCCAAATACACTTTACATCAATGTCCTTAGTCAGCCACTTAAAATTCCTCTTCTCATTGTTGTAGTTCCAAAGCCCAATCTTGTCTTCCTTTAACCAGCCCACTACTATCTCAGAATCACCTTCTATGACCAGCTTATTGATATTCAGGTCCCTTGCTCTTTGTACCCCTTCCATGATTGCCATTACCTCGGCCCTAAGGGAGTCTCCTACTCCAATTGGGGCCAGAAAACATGGCTATTATCTTCTCTTGTTCATTCCTTAACACTCCCCCAATGCCAGATGGCCCTGGATTATTCAAACTGCTACCATCGAAATTCAGTTTGATGAAACCATGAGGAGGGGGGGGGGATTCCATGATGGACTTGAAGTCAACTTAAATGGGACTGACTTCGCAACTTCCTTCCAATTTCCTAGCAGATCATTCACTGAGAAGTCTGTGAGCAACTGCAAAGATTTCAGCCAGTGTATTGCCCTTATGTGGATCACTTCTATGACACTTTATAGACTTCTCTCCTTATCAGAAAAAAATCTTAAGTTTCTTTCCTCCCAAATAGACCAGCATACAGCATCCCTAACACATCTCAACATAACCTTTCATCTTTTTGTTGGCCAGCTGAAGGAAGAAGAAGTAAATAGGCTTTGCACATTCAGAAGGGAATTCCAACTGCACCCAAATAAAGAAGTGAACCATTCCCAAATACTTTTTGCAAATTGACAGGAAATTAATAAGCGGTAACTGGACTCACCATCAGCCTTATAGAGAGCACACCAATGAGGAGATAAATGCCTATTAGGTCTCTCTCTTTGAAGAAAATCACCTGTGATTCTTTCTAGAAACGCTTCCCAACAGAAACTCTCAACATTTGGATGTGATTCTTTCTAGAAACGCTTCCCAACAGAAACTCTCAACATTTGGAGGAATAAGCTGACACCAGACTTCCTTAACAGGGAAAGACAAACCAGAAATGTCAACTGGTTGAGTAAGTGTCTTAAAAAAGGAGGCACAAGTGAAGGATCCTGCGGGAGATGGGGTCCAAATTCTACTATCTAACTGTGAGAGGTCTAGACAAATCCCATCAAGGATGCCCAAGAGAGCCATAATACTGTCCAACTCTGTCTTTAATAGCTCTTCTTAAACTCAAGTTCCACTCATAGCCTGAAATCGATTTAGAAGGCACAAGAAAAGTAGAAATAGGTTCATTTTTAAAAGAAGAAATAGCAAATAAAGTTGGAAATTGGTCTTTCAAAGGGGAATCTCCAACCCAAACCTGTTCCTTAAATTTGATGATGTTACGTGAATGTAAATCATACCTGATCCAGGGAGAGAACAGAGGCAAGATAGCCCGAATTGCTTTCCAAGGTGAAGCTCTTGTGCTCCTAGCTAGAGTCCCAACATCCAGCCATTATCCACAAGCCCATGGATACTAGCTACAATCTTAGCCCACAATTTCTCTTTCTCAATGGGGAATCTCCACAACCATTTCCTCCCTAAGAGAGCCAAGTTCCTCTTCCTGATATTCCCAATGCCAAGACCACCATACTTCTTACCTCTATTCACTACCTCCGTCCAACCCTATGGTCTTTTTTCTCCTCCCCCGGTTCCCATAAAAAGTCTTTCATTAGCTTTTCCAACTTACTAGCCGCTACAATTGGGATCTTGAAAACCGACAGATAATAAACAGGCAAGTTAGCAAGTGTAGACCTAATTAGGGTGATTATTCCTCCAAGAGATAAGTAATTCTTCTTCCAAGAGGCAAGTCTCTTCCCAACTCTCTCCACTACTGGGTCCCAAAAGCTTTCTTTCTAAGGATTGTCCTCTAGAAGCAAACTTAGGCAATTCAAAGGCCAATCAGGCACTACACACTTCATAATGTCTGCATATTCAAGTATCTCCCTTTCCTTCATATTGACTCCCACTATACAACTTTTCTCAAAGTTAACTTTCAAGTTTCAAATTAGACAATTGCTCAAAAAGTTGTATAATAAGCTTCAAATTCCTAACCCAATTCCAATCCCCTCCTTCACATAAAATCGTATCATCTACAAATTTCATGTAAGGGGTATGTCCTCCCTACCTACCATCCACCCTCTTATTAAATTCCTAGAATTTGCTCTAGAGATCAAACTCCCCAGGCCCTCCGCAATCGAAGTAAACAGGAAAGGAGAAAGGGGGTCTCCTTGTCTTATACCTCTTGAAGCTGGAAAAAAATCTACCCTGTCCCATTAACTAGAATCGAGTAGTGGCAGGTTCAAACACACCCCAACACCCATTTGCACTATTTATCTTCAAACCCAAAGCTTATCGTCACCTCCAACAAAAAGGACCAATCTACCAGGTCATAAACTTTTTCAAGATCTAATTTGCAGACCAACCCCTTTTTTTCTGATTTCTTAAGATCCTCCACACTCTCATTAGCTATAAGAATCTGATCAGTTATCTGCCTTTCCCTCACAAAAGCTCCTTTGTTGTGAGCTATAATAAAAGGGAGCACCTGTCTAATCCTTAAAGAGAACACCTTCGCAATAATCTTGTACAAACTATTCACCAAGCTGATTGGTCTATAGTCTCTCGGGTGATTAGATTCTCTCTTCTTGGGAATCAAAGCTAAGAAAGTGGAGATCAGTCCTGGGTTAATCACTCCTCTTTTGTGAAACTCTTCAAACATTGACATTAAGTCCTTCAAAATCTCCCAACAATCATGATAAAAAACCATCACAAAACCATTTGGACATGGTGCTTTTGATCTATCCATAGAAAACACTTCTTCCAACTCAAACCTTCTCTCCAACCACTCCTTATCCTCTACCCTTAACCTTGGCCATTCCAAAGCTTCAATCCATACCCTCTCACTTAGGGGACTTGTAAAGATAGATTTAAAATGATTCACAAAAGCCCCAACAATCTCATTTTGATGGGATAAGGTTGACCCAAACTTCTAATTTGGAGATGAAAATTTTTCTCCTTCTGCCATTTGCTACAACATGAAAGAACTTAGTATTCCTATTTCCCTCCTTTAGCCATTTACATCTAGACTTATGTCGCTAATTAATTTTCTCCTTGTGTAAGCAATCCTCCATCCGTTTTCTCAATCTCCACCTTTTCTCCTTATCCCCCTCTTCAAGACACCCCCTTAATTCTTTCAAGTCTACATCCTCCAACTGATGAATCACATTTTGCTTCTTTTCTTCAAGTTTTCCGAACTCTATGAGGTTCCATTCCTTAATTTTGTTCTTTAGGTATTGAAGTTCCTTATGGAACCTCATACCCTTCCAGTTCATTGTTGGATTGCTTTGCAACCACCAATCTCTAACTTTCTTAATAAACCCAGGATGGTGCAGCTACATGTTTTCAAATCTGAGTGGAGCAGGCCCAGCATTTTCCAACTTTTCTTTACTAATCATGATAGTCCAATGATCACAAGCCACCTTTGTGAGGGCCCTCAAAGTCAAGCTCTCCCAATGTTCTTCCTAGTCAGCTGAAAAAAGGAATATATCCAGCTTGGAGCAAATGGGGTTCACTTGGGGATTAGACCAGGTAAAGTTACTATGAGCAAAAGGGATCTCTTTCAGTTCGAAGGCATGTACAAGCCGATTGAAATTCCTCATGCTTGTGGTCACCCTCTGTCTAGGACTATTTGTTTCTTCCAGGAATCTGATTACATTGAAATCACCTCCTAGACACAAAGGTCCTTCCCACAAACCCCTAATGTCACCCAACTCTGCCCACAGTTTCTTCCTCTCCCTGTAATCATTAGGGCCGTAAACATTTGTTAAAGCCCATTCAAAACCATCCTCCACCTGCTTAAATTTCAGAGACACTGAGAACTGGCCTATTAGCTATTCCAATCCTTCTAACACATCACTTTTCCACATAATCACTATGCCTCCAGCAGACCCCCAAGAAGGTGCAGCTGCCCAACTAATTCCTTCTTTCAAAATGCTCAACATACAAAAGGAAAGCAGCTCAAAAAAAAATTTAATTATTTCATGTGGATGTGTAGTGTTAAATTATGGTTCTTTACTTAACACCTAAGATATCTGACTCAATAGATTTTCTAGTTCATGGTATTTGATGGAGAAATTATGTTTCCATTCATTGTTAGCCTTTCATTAAGCTTCAGTTAAGTAGTTTGCCCATAGTCAGTTATTGGTTTCATCCTTTCATTTCAGAATATGGAAGCAGAAAAGCAGGTTAAATTTTTTCAAGGTTGTGTTGCTGCTGCATTTGCTGAGAGGGACCATTCTCTGGTGGAGGTATAACACTTTTATGTAACTTCTATGTATTACGTAATAGAGCCCATGGTGTTTATGAGTGTAACTTATAAGTACTTATATTACATTTAAAATAAAAGAAGTGATGAATCCATGCACTCATTTCATGAAAGGTTATAGAAGCTTTCTTGTGGTCTATGATAGGCTGAGAAGGCTAAGGAAAAGGAGGAGCTTATGTCACAGAAATTAAATGATTTCCAGAGAAGGTTGTTTGACAGCATTGCAACTCTTTTCTTGTCAATTTGATTCCTGCTTTGATGTCTATAAGAGTGAAAAGACATGCCCATTGTGAAGTATCTGATTTTTCTTGTGAATTTGTACTTGTGGCAGGTTAGAGGAGCTTACTTCAGAATGCCTTGAAGAAAGAAAACTTAGTTCTACATTACAGGTGGATTTAGCAATGCTAAAGGACCAGAATGAAAATTTCAAAAAGGTACATGCATGAATCCATCTTGTACTTAATGATTTATCTTTCCAAAATTCTCATTTATTTTAATATATATACCTATGTATTTAAACATGCATAATTATATGGGTCTTGGCTAATTTGTTTCTACTTCTAATCACTGTAAGTGTAAATTATGTTTCTACTTCCAATTGGATGCTTTAAGTTCTAACAATCAATTTATGTTACTCTGTATTTATAACTCTTTGTTTGAATTCATCTTTAAGTCATGAAATTGCATCTCTTTTTCCTATTGCATGTGCTTTTTTTTGGTTAAATTTTTTGTGGTATTCTTATCAAGACCTGGCATGTAACGTAACCATGACTATCACAAACTGGAAGCCTGTTATGACTTATGACTATATTCTTTCGTGGTATATCATTTGGTTGCAGATTTATTTTCACTCCCCTCACTCACTGTTAGTTAATGTTACATATTAGTTGTTTCCAGAACTAGTGCCATTCCAAGATAAACATTACAGGAAACAAAAACCACAAAAGCCAGCTCCTTTGCCTCCACCTCAAAGGGGTCCATCTTCCCTCTGCAATGGTTCAAGAATATTGAATTCCAAAGCACCTAAAAATTACAAAATTTCCATTTGATGAGGAATTGGGAGAAGACTGGTTTCTTTCTCCATGGATTCTTCCCTTGCTTTCATGCCTACATCACCCTTTCTTAGGAAGGGCTCAGATCTTTTTTTTTTTTTTTATCAATAACAAAAGCAATTTCATTAATAATGAACAATTAAGTACAAAGAAGGGAGGGAAAAGCTCTCTTAGCCCTCCCCAAGGAAGATCCAAATTTTAACATAGCCCAAAAGAAATTGTTCCTTCCACCCCTTGTTTAGTAAGTGTGTCAGCAAATGCATTGGCTTCTCTTCTCACTCAATTAAAAGTCACCTCCACCCCCCGTAATAACCTCATAACTTTCCTTTTCTCATAGATGTAGCACCGCCATCCATCCTCCTCATCCTTTCAAAGCCAATTTATCACCAGCTTTGAGTCTCCTTCAATTGCCAACTTTTGGATATTCAATTCCTTGAATCCCTTCCAAGACTGCCAGAATTTCAGCCTCAATGAATCACATACTCCAATTGGGCCTGAATAGATCACAATGATTTTTCACTCCTCATTTCTAAGGACTCCTCCAATGCTAGGAAGGGCTCAGAACTCCCAAAGCACTTGTATGAAAATGTATTCACTTTATTGTAGCAAAGAAGGAAAAGATGAGGTCAGTTGTGTAAATCTTCTTTTTCTTACATTACCTTCTCATTATTATTTCAGATATAATGTAGCTGATTTAGTATAGACACCAATTAATGAGATCCTTTATCTTCCTGAAGGACCTGAACTTTTTTATCTGATATGTTCATGCTGAGCATCCATCTTCTGTAAGTTATTGTGGACTAATTTATGTTTTCAGGTTATTAATAAGTTCTATGAGATCAGAGAAAGCACTTTGGGTGGCTATGAGGATAGGAATTGGGATGACAAATGTGCTTGTCTTTTACAAGATCCTACAGAAATGTGGAGTTTTGATGATAGTAGGATAGCTTCCACCTCTAAATATATCGTGAGTTTGGAAACCTATTGTCTTTGCTTTATCTTATTATAGTCTTTCACTTCTTGGTGTTGTGTTTTATAAGAACCCAGCTTATAATTTTTCTACATCTAAATCCTTGTAAAGTTTTAAACAGTGTAGAATTATACACTTTCAAAATTGATAGGGTGTGCAATGTGGTATTTGTTGAATCAAATGCATTTGATGACCAGATATGTTTAAAACCTCTGAAGCAATTGAAACTTAATAACTTAAAATTCACAAGATCAGTAAATCATGGATATGGCATTTTTTTATAATTAAATTTCTAGAGAGATCTTACAGAATATTAGTTCCAAATTTTTTGGTATTAATTGTAGTTAGTTATTGTTGGCTCAAGGATATGAAGACAGTTCATTTGTAGTGTTCTTCCATGCTTTTCAAAGGAGCCACTGAACTTGGTTTTGATGGCTGTGTAGACATTAAAATTTTCATGGGATTTAAAGGCCCTGTCCCATAAGCTCAAATTCACAAATGAACCTTAGTACGATTCATTTCTATTTGGGCCCCACCCTAGAAATCCATTGGCACTGAAAGGGGGCCCACATGGGACCTTAGTACGATTCAAATTTCAAGTCTCTAATGGATTATGGAATTAAATCCAACTAATCAATGATGGAAAAAGAGAATAATTGATGTGATATTATTTTCTCCATAAATGGAAAATTGCCAACATTCTCCTCCCTACAAAAGGTAACTAGAACTAATCAAATCTCCAATCAACTAAGACATATCTCACATTTAGTTAATGATTGACAAGAGAATATTTGATGAAATGTTATTCTCCCTATAAATGGTAATTGGCCAACACCCTATTCTCTAGAAGATGCAACAAGGGCTAATAAAATCTCCAATCAAGGGCATGAAAAGGTTGGACCATACAATCTATAAATGCATGCTCCTGTCAAGAGGTAGGGGACTTTTGCATGGTTCAAAGTATTGATATGCTCGGAGTTTCAAATAGCCAAAAATACTTGGAAAAATAACCAAGGTTCAAGGATTGAGTCAAGACATCTCTAAGAGGGGTATTAACCTCTAAAACTGGCCATATGTTCTAACTCCCTCAATTTAGTGTATTAGTAACCCAAAGATATGGTGTGATATGCCCAATATGGGGTGTATGGTATTGATACTTTGAACCTTGGACTTTGGTCAGAAGACTTGGTGAAGGAAAAAAGGCTTTTGGCCAAGAGAGAAATACACATCATTCTCTCAAGAAAATCTACAAAACTCTTTGGAGTTTTACAAGGTTCTTCTTTTGATCAAGCTTTCTAAGCCCACTTAAAGGAAGTAAGATCCATCATTCTCTGAAGTATGAGAACATGTTATCCAATCTCAACTTCAATCCACAATAAAAATCTTCAAGTTGCAAGAAGCACACCTTAAAGAGAGAATTGTCGTGGTACATTTGGGTCTGATTTGGCATAGTGATTGTATTCTTGCAAAGCACATGCCCCTCCTTTATGGCCTCAATTCTTTTCTCCTTTGAGATTGTGAAAGTGGAGGTTGAGGGTGGTTCTTATGTGATAATGGATGAATTACTGGAATTCCATTGAACTTGAACCCAAGGTTGATATGAGTTGAAAAACAGTCCACTTGATGTATGGAACTGTTTGAGATTAGATGCAAACCAGAAAATAAACAAACAAGAGAGGAAGAGAAGAGAGAGCTGGCGGCAATGAGTGTTAGAGAGTAAGAGGTTCGAACATAACTTCTCTCTAACACTCTAAACATCTTATTAAGAAGTTAATCTTT